AAAGGACGATGCTTCAGTGTGGAAGTGTGACCAAGGACAAGGCACCTGGTCCAGAGCGACCTTAGGGTGCACCTGTGAATTCACGTCCCCTTAGCTCTTCAGCTAATTCTCTGCTGCTCTAGTAGACTTGTTTGTCTCTCTGTACAGCCCCTGCCAGTAGGCAGGGCTCCCCTCCCCTGACTTCCTTCTTATATGTGCGTCACCTACTTGGTTTTTGTGTGTGTGTGTGCACGCGCATGCATGTGTGTGTGAGAGTGTGTATGTGCATGTGTGTGCATGCATGTGTGTAAGAGTGTGTTTGCGAGTGTGTGTGCGTGTGATTGTGTGTATGTGTATGTGCGTGTGTGATTGTGTGTATGTGCATGTGTGTGTGTGCGTGCGTGTGCCTCAGCACCCACATGGAAGTCAAAGCACGGCTTTCAGGAGTTATTTTCTCCTTCCCCCATCAATTCTAGGACTTGAACTTAGATTATCAGGCTCGTCCATGGCAAGTGCCTGTCCTCTTGAAGTCATCCCATCTGTCCATTCTGGCTCCCTTCTAGGGGGTGTTCCTTCTGCTGCCGCTATTGAAATTCTTAGTTGTCAGAGTCTCCAAGCCCAATCCCAGCCTCCCTTGCTCCTCTCGGGCTCTGTGGGAAGGGCCACCTGTAGTAATATGGGCGGCGGGGCTGCGTCCCCAGCACCCCGGCTGCCTGGCTAGCTTATGCCCGAAATAACAACACACAAACTGTATTCATTTAATCACTGCTTGGCCCATTTCTATCTAGCCTCTTCTAGGCTAATTCTCACATATTAATTTAGCCCATTTCTAATCATCTGTGTAGCGCCCCTAGGTGCGCTTACCGGGAAGATTCTAGCCTATGTCCATCCTGGGTTGGAGCTTCATCGCTTGCGTCTGCCCAGGAGCCAGGAGGATGGCGTCTCTCTGAGACATCTGCTCCCGAGAGGAGAGCTGTGGAGTCTGAGCTCACTTCCTCTTCCTCCCAGCGTTCTGTTCTGTTTACTCCTCCCACCTATCTTCTAACCAATGAGGGCCAAGCAGTTTCTTTTTATTTAACCAATGACCTTCCTCCATCAGCCACCCCTGCCTGTGGGCAGCAGGTTTTGTTCCACTAGCTAAACCCTACTACACTTCTAATCCTATGGGCCCCATCACTAGCCATATACTACCATATGGGACTACTAAATCGGTAAGGTTACTTTGACAACCAGCTGACAGTTCCTCAGAATGCTGAGCGTACAGTTACTATGTGACATTATAAAAGGGAGGGATTCACAAATATCAATAGAACATGTCCCATAACATCCCCAAATTAGAAAGCAACCTAAATGTTCTTTAGTTGATGATAGGTAAGTATAACGTGCCGTGTGAACACGGTGGGATATTGTTTGACAGTAAAAGGTGTTGATGGATGATGGAACACGAGCAAGTCCTGACACATGACCACAGATGAAAGAAGCCATTTATGGAAGGTTTTATATTATGTCTCTGAGTTCTAAAGCAAAGCAAATATGCAGAAAGGAAAAGTACGACTGGGGGAACTACATTGCATGAATCTTGTCTCGTTAAAGCGTTACCTAGGGACTGGAGCTAGGGCTCAGTGGTTAGGGACACTTGTGGCTCTTGCCGAGGACCTGGATTGGGTTCCCAAAGCCGTCGTGATGACCCATGATAGCCCACACTCCAGCTGCAAGGGATTCAGTGCCGCTGCCTTCTTGCCTCTGAGAACACCAGGCATACATGTAGTGCTTATTAAATCTTCAAAAAGAAAAAAGAAACCAAACAACAACACCCAAAACCAAACAGAAAACAAATCCACCAAAAACTCACAAATAGTTGTCTACAAATTGTGTCCTCAGATAACAAAGTGAAAGTTCTTATTCTTTAACTTTTTATTGTGGGGACACTCAGATAGACACAAATGTCAAGGAGACTTGTGAGGTTGTGTTTGTTTTTAATAAACATAGAGTCAGTCATTGACCTGCTCCCCAAATACGAACATTTTAGAAATCTTTTCACAATATTTTTTCTCAATTTTATTACCGGAATTTTGAACATTAGAAAATTTGAAAGATTATACAATGAAAGCCAAGTATCCTCTGCTGTGTTTGCCCACTAGCACACTGCTCTGCCTGTCTTCATCTGCCCTGTCCGTCATCAGCTCATCTTTAAAATTTATTTCCATGTAAGTTGCAGACAGCCCCACTCTTCCCTCGGTCCTACCACGTGCTTATCACCGACCAGGGATGTTTATTGTACGTCTTCTGTTTTTAGTGAAACTCATATACAGCGAAACACACAAATGTCCAGTCTTCATGCCTCAACGTGAGGTATGTGTGAAATTTTGTGTCACTCAAAGCCACGGTTCCAGTGTCTTTTGGAAATACTTTTAATCCTTTTACACTTACTGATTTGGGGAGGGGGTGTATGCGGAGCACACCCCACTTAGGTCAAAGGACAACCTGCCAGAGTCAGTTCCCATCACCTAATTTGGGGGATCAGTCTTAGGTCCTCCAGCTTGGCAGCAGGGACCTTTGACAGCAGGGCCTCTCTGGCTGGCTCTGTTGGAAATGTTAATTCTTCTCATGGAGTTTTGAATGTCCTCATTGTGTTTTCTATGTTGTGTTTGCCTGTTGTAGAGTTGATTAAATCTCCGAGATGAGAAATTTCAGTACATACCATAAGCTTCCGAGCCTTCTTGGTTCTTGAAAGTTGGTTTGTAATTTTTTTTTTTTTTGCCGTAAGCCCTTGTTTTAATGTATCTTTCATGATTAACACATCAAAAACTGTCCTGTATCAAAATCTATCATTTCACAGTAAATAGGGACAACATGTAGGACGAGTCAAGGCATGAAATTTTAAGCCAGTTAAGACACAGAATGTCATCAGTGCAAGGTTTTCTTTTTCCCTTCCTTCTTTCCTTCCTTTTTTTTTTCCTTTCAGGAAACAACCCAAGATTTCTTTTCCACAACAGCAACACAAACCCATGAACTAGAAAGTCATATGGCCAAAGCATGCCCTGTTCATCTCTGAAAAGTCGGAACAAAATTCATTATTTTGTACAGTTAATGCCTTATTAAATGCCCACACTGTCTCTTGCCTCTTGAAACACACTGCCAGTTTGCAAGAATCGAGGAACATGCTTTTCAGTTCGGTTACTACATCCCTCTTAGTGACCCCTGTGACGATGAATTCTGTATGTTTATAAAGAAACGCAGTATGGCCTCCTGATACAACACACACCTATGCTGTGTTGCAGGCATTTCTGCTTTTTACTATGTGTCTCTAGAAAGCAGATGAAAAGGAGGCCTTTAAATGGAACAGTTCGCACAAAGTTTTTTTTTTTGTTTTGTTTTAAGCTAAACTTAACCTTGACAATTTTAATATAAAGAAGCTGCTATCAAGACCTTATGCACAAAACTTGGAAGAGTCCACACCTGTAACATCACTACGAGTGAGGTGAGTGGAAATGGGTTTAGAGGAGTTGATCTAGAAAAAGTAAAATTTACTAGTGCTTTGGAATGTAAGACATGGCATTTCTCTCTATGGAATGAAAATATTAATTTTATATGTGCTTTTTAATTATAAAGGCTGTACATCTCCCCCGGGTCTAGAAGGTCCTTCCTACTCTTAATTACTGGATCTCAGCGTCTAGTGGAGGCAAGCTTTTCCCCCTTCCCTGTAAAGGGTATACTTTAATGTTCACAGTTTGTGCATATGCGGGGGAGAGGGGGCGCAGAGGGAAGGTGTTAATTCAGATGTTAGGGAACTGTAATGATGCTGTTATTTAAGGCACGTATTTGAGTGTGTTTATACTCCGTGGTTCTATAAATAAACCCGAGGGGGCTCCTAGATGTCTCGATGCGTCTTGAATCCCGTGCCCTGTCTGTCTCATCCTATCCGACAGTAGAATTGATGCTCCTCTAATCCCTGGAAGTTTGGGGCTAATGAACGGACTGCTGGGCGGCCGCCACGGAGCTTGGTCCCAAACTATACTGTACTTCACACTCGATTTATTCTCCAGATGGCGAGACTGTGCCGCCCCGCCGCGAGGGACCACCCCTTCCACTGGAGTGTAAAAGTGGTCGGATGTTGTTTTCTTTGCAGATCTCCTCTTTCTGAGCTAGAAACTCGCGAGGATGATTAGTTATTAGCTCTAATGGGTGCCAACTGAACCAACTGCACGCAGATTTTCTCCCTTAGTTTCGGAGGCCGCAGTCTTGGGGATGGTTGCTTTATCTGCTTCCTTACGTCACCGGAGCGTGCCTCCTCCCCAGGTGACAGGAATCCAGGCTCTGAAATCATAGCACGCCTTGGTTCCTGGCCCAGACACGGTCACACAGTACTATGGCTTATGCATAAGGACAGTTTTATTAGCCTCTGGTCCACTGCACCAAACAGCCTGTGACACGGAATATCGACCAGTTGCGGGAGCTTTGGAAAGGCCACTTTTCAGAGCAGGGCCCTTGGAAGATTCTGGTCCATCCCAACTTGTCTGAAAGCCACGTGAAATCTACAGACATGATACAGAGGACCCAATGGCACTTAGTGAACACTTCCAGGATCCATTCAGCCTTCAAGCTTGTCAGTTCTGAGAGGGCCACGTTCATCCTGCCACGAGGACCCATCAGCGAGGCCGTGCCGTTTGCAGCGTGATCCCTCCTCAGTCTCCCTGAGACCAGCTTTCCCCCCCATAGCGTTCTTCCACCACAAAACATGTTCCTTTCAAAATTTCTGAAAGTCATTCTGAGCACCCCACTGAGGGAGTGTGACAGGCGCCTGAAGTCCTCTTATTAACCCACCTGAAGATGGGGATGGAGGGAGGAGTAAGGCTGGAGAAAAAGATGCGCGAAAGGAAGGGAATGATGAAGATGGTACAGAGAAGTCAAACGAACAGACCGGGTGGTCGGAACTCACAGAATACACACCACTAATTGTTCTTAGAAGCCGCCTTCCTCACAGCCCAACAGATGGCTTGGGTGTATTTACTAGCACAGTGACATATTTTACCATTAAAATAATAATAAAAAAATCCACACACTTGTTGGTTGGTGTAAATTCAGTAAGGTTGTTGGATATTTTGGGATACGTACCAGAGGGATGTGCTCCTCATTGATGTAAATTGTAGCAGTCAGCAGCCTGTTAGTCAGGGTGATGTGTGGCAACATACCTCAGACGCCATCCTCTCTCTCTCTGGAAAGGTGCGCCACCGTGCCAGGAAAGAGCGCCCTGTTTATTCCGAGCCAAAAAAACAAAAAGGAAGAAAATGCTGAGCGCTGGCTGCTCGTTATTATAACACGAAATGGACTAATCAGATTATGCCTAGAAACTGGAATTAGAGGCTTCGTTTGCAGCCAATTTCACAAGGATTGAGTTACTAAGTCAGCTGTAATGTGCGGAAACCATGGCAATCTGACTTCAGATGAGAAATCACAAACAGGTTTGGGACGTGAGCTCTGAACAAACATTTCTCTTCAGATCCAAAGGAAATAACCACGCAGCTTAAGGGTCCAGTTCTGTTGGACACCAGAGAAGCAGTTTAGAGAGTCGCCAGGGATTCTGCGTCATCGTGCACACATTTGGTAGACATGTTGATTCAGTCTTTCCTTTTTAAAGGAATGTAGACCAGGCTGGCCTAAAACCTGATGTCCTCCTCCCTCAGCCTCCTGAGTGAGCCACCACACTTAGCTTGACGGCATAATATTTTTACCCTTAAACAGTCCAGAGAATTACCTTTTATTCTCCCAGACAGTGTTTCGGTAGATCTTCTGCAAGGCTGTCCTGTTATAGGGTAAGAATCCGGAAGTTAGAATGTTTGCAAATCCAAACTATCCAGACCTAGTAACTGTCCGGACGGTGTGCAGCATGACCTGTTGTTTTAGGGTCTCTGAGGCTGTGGATCTGAAGGCACAGGAACCCCTCCTGCTATGACAGACAGCCTTCGAGCCCCGCTATCGGGCTGACTCCTATGCTCTGTCATGAGGACATCCCCGTTAGCCTCTGCAGCCACGGTACATAGAGTACCTAAGTGGACTGCACTGGGAAACAACCGGTTTGGGCAAGGGTGGGTACTGGAGAGGGGCTTAGAGGTTAAGAGCTCATCCTTCTCTTGAAGAGGACTTGTGTTTGGTTCCCCATACCCTCATCAAGTGTGGCTCACACCCGCCTGTGACTCCATCTTCAGGGGAGTCTGATGCCGCTTACCTCTTAGGGCATTTGTGTGTACATACGTCCTACAACACACACGTATGTAATTAAAGACAAATCTAGAAACATGAAGTAATGGCCATTCATCGTGTGGACCCGAGTCACTATTGACTGCATCATCTCATGTGCTTTCTCTTGCTTTTGCCTAAATTCGGCCTAAGTATGCACAGCCAACACTCTGGAAATCAGGTTTGCACAGAGACATCTAAATTCGTTCTGGGTGCTCTTTCCCCTGTCCCGATAACGCTAAGCTACACTCTGATAACACTGTTTAGCTCAGGCCCCAACTAGGAAGCCTTCCTGATTTCTGTTCTGTCTTATGTCTGGTTTAAATCAACTGTCTTGGGTTGTCTCTGTGGGTCTAGACTTTATGTTGGCTTAAATAATTCTATCACTTTTTGTTTTAAATAGGCTCTTACCATGAAACTCTGCTAGCATGGAACTCGCTATGTATATACCAAGCTGACCTTGAACTCCGTGATCTGCTTGCCTCTGTCTCCTGAGTGCTAGGGTTAAAGGCATGCTTACTTCGTGCATCAAATAATTCATGGTTCTCTATGCCTTGGGGAGCTCTTTTCTGAGATATGTGTTGCTGCCGGGCGGTGGTGGCACACGCCTTTAATCCCAGCACTCGGGAGGCAGAGGCAGGTGGATCTCTGTGAGTTTGAGGCCAGCCTGGTCTACAAGAGCTAGTTCCAGGACAGGAACCAAAAGCTACGGAGAAACCCTGTCTCGAAAATCAAAAATAAATAAATAAATAAGATATGTGTTGCTATTCAAATGGCTGCATACTGTCAGTTTATCAAAGGTTTATGTAATTTTATTTTATGTGTTTGAGTGTTTGCTTATGTGTGTAAATGTATATGTGTATATATATGTGCACCATGTTTGTGACTAGTGGCCATGGAGGCCAGCAGACTGTATCACTCTGCAACCACCAAGTGGATTCTGGAAACTAAACCTGGGTCCTCTGCAAGAGTACTGAGTGCTCTTAACCACTGAGGCATACTTCCAGCTCCAGGACCTTTTTTTTTTTAATGCATTCATCAGTATTAGATGCTTTAAAGTTTTATTGGTGTAATAAACATTCTTCCCAAATGAAGCTACCTTTGATAAGTGTTCCTTCTGGTGGTGAGAATTTGTTGAGGGCTGTTGGCAAGATGGAGGACTTTATTTTTGAAACTAGAATTGGCGGTAAAGAATGGCCCTAAGAACTCCCTTTCTCTCATTGCCAGCCCTCAGCTCTTCGTGTTCTCACTTCCCCCCCACCACCCCACAGTCTTCACCTCCAGCTCAAAGCTGGTACGGCTTTTCTCGGGATAATTCAAATGTGACTTTCAGCTTCTCTTAGCTGCAGCAGAGACTGTCAAATGAAAGAGAACAGTCTGTGTGTCAAGCACTCCGTGAAGGGATTTCTAAGTGCTATTACTGGTTCTCTCTGAGTTAGTGAGAACCTTTCATGAAGTACTGAATGTCAGATTCCTGTAAACCCTTTCTTAATTGAGTGTCAAGACGCAACTTGGTCACACACAAAAAAATAATAACAACACAGATGAATCCTTTTTTAAAAAACCGTGATACCTGGAGAGCAGAAGTGCAAGGGCTTGCATTTCGACTGTGCTGACAGATGCTAGTGCCACGACTCCAATGACATCTAGCTTCTAAGACTAGAAATGAAGAAAAAGGGAGAAAGACTTGGAGCTATGCTTAGTGCACAGTTCATGCCCAATCAGTGAATTATTTTACCCCCTCCACTAGAAAGTACACAAATGAGCACATTGCTCTGCCGTTCAGAGGTACACAGTCAGTATGCTATATACGATGGTTTATCCCCCTTGTGTTCCAGCCGTCGTGAAAGATGTGTAGAAATCATTCACTCCCCTGCGAGTGTGGATGATTCGTTTCCACTACCATTTTCTCGTGGACAGAAATGGTGTTATTCTCATCACAGTGTCCATCAGAGTTCCAGGACTGTTCCTTGGGTCTTCCTTAACGTTAAGAGCAAACTTAAGTACATTTTTCTCAATGTTCACAGGATGAAGCACGGCAGAGAATAGTAAGAACTCTCGAAGACTTTGACCTGGGCCCAACAGAAAAGTGTGTGAGAATCAACTCAGTGTCCAGTGGTCTGGCTGAGGCTGACCTGGAGACCATCCTGCAGGCCCGAGTTCTGCCCTCTAGTGTGATGCTACCAAAGGTGGAAGGTCCTGAAGAAATCCAGTGGGTAAGCTGTGCTTTGCTGTGTGGCTCAGGGCCAGCTAAGGAGTCGTCTCCAGGAGGGGACGGCATCGGTTTAGAGATGCGTACACACACAGCTCACACGATAACTCATGTATGGAGCGGTTGCTTGTCATGTGTCAGGTCCTGGGTTCAGTTAGCACTGTGAGAAAAGAGAGAGACTCAAACAGACAAGGAGGACATGGGGCTGGATGTAGCTCCATTGGTAGAGGGCTTGCCTAACATGCAGAAGGCCCTGGTTAGATACCACACAGCATCACCTAAAATTGGGTGTGTTGACAAAATCATATAACCCCAGCACTCAGGAGATAGAGACAGGAAGATCAGAAGTTCAAGGTCATCCTCAGGTTTGGGGCCAGCCTAGGCTACATGAGATCCTTTCTCAAGAAAGAAGCAGAAGGAATTGTGAAAAGCAGGTAGTAAATCTATTTCCTTCCCCAAGAATCCCACTTTCCCCAACACGTTTCCCCGAAGAGCTCTCCTGTGGAAACAACTGCTTTTGCTTTCTGAGTGCATCTGTGGTCACTGCAGCTGCCTCCGTAGCCCTCACAAGTCAGTTCCTGGACACCAACTTGCCTGAGAATCCATCCGCCCTGCTGCTGGGAAGCCAGGGCTGGTACTTGGAAGAGCCATGACGTAGATGGTTCTGGCTGAGGCTCTCCTGGAGCCGTCACAGGCAGTGAGGACCTCTAGCCGCACATGAAGCAAAGAACCCAAAGCAGAAAAGGGAAAGGTCACTCCTTAGGGCAAACTGGAGGAAGAAACAGGAAGCTTTTAACTCGTGGTTTTAATTAGCTCAGATATTATTTCCTGAACAGCTCTCTGGTGCGCCCCTTTTTAAATTACTGTCAGGTGTGTTTGCGTTTCACGACAGACTTTTCAGCCAATAAAAGCCTGAAATGTAAAGTGGTTGGCATGTCAAATTACTTAAGAAAACTTTGAAATGGGCCCAATTATGCTATGATTGTTTTAATTGTGAGATTCGGGAAGGGGGTATTGAATAGGGAGTTACTATTATTCTGTAAGTCCCTTGAATAAAATGCCATTTTATTATACCACTTGGAGCAGAACCTTTGGGAATAACTGGGCTAAATGGCTGGTGGGGCATTCAAAGCCATATCTCATATTATCCTGAAGGCTGTGCCCCTAGACATAGCAATACTATGAGTAGCTGTCATACCTGGTGAAACTGCTCACTTAAAAAAATTAACAATGTATTTTTTAAAATAATCTTTGGTGTCCTGCCTGCATGCATGCATGCATCTATGAAGGTGTCAGACCCCCTGAAGTTATAGATGGTTGTGAGCTGCCATGTGAGTGCTGGGAATTGAACCCAGACCCACCAGAAGAGCGGCAAGTGCTCTTAACCACTGAGCCATCTCTCCAGCCCCAACTGCTCACATTTTTAATCTATCGGGATATGCTTCATCTTTATTGTCCATACGTGGATCACCTGCCACTATAGCTGCTGAGCACTTGAAATGTGGCCAGTGCGATTGAGGTGTGCACAGATCAGAATAAAACACACACATGCCTGACTTTAGAAAGTTGGTATTCTTTCCAAGTGGAGAAAGAAAAATGGAAAACATCCCAATTTTATAGTGGTTCCATATTGCAGTCATAATATTTGGGATCTACTAGTTGAATATAAGATATGAAAAGTCAATTTATCTTCTCTATTCTTTAACCGTAGCTACTGAAGATTGAGAACTGTTACACATGTAGATGCCATGGTATTTGTGTTGGCAGCTCTACATTGGAGCTCTCTCAAAGACCTGCTCATCAAGGGCTTATGTTTACTTAGTTAACCAGAGATCTCACCAAGTTAGCCTTAGTTACATAGAGAGACAGGGGTGTAGAGCCTATTAATGTCCTGAGGGTTCCGACCCCATCCAGACAAGTGTTAAGCTGATGGAGAACTCTAAATTCCTCTTCCCGTTAGTTTCCTCGTTAATGCCTATTAACACTGTGTCACTGTTCACTTAAGATGGGGATGAGATCTCCCCAACCTGGAGCTAAGCTTCCTGTCGCTGTTTCAGATCCGTCTATGTGAGGGGCACTCTGAAATAGGACTTGTAGCTAGCAGAAGTCTCCGGGGCTGTTTATTTTCCTCTTGGTTTGTATGTGTGCCGAGCGTAAAACCCCAAGCCTGGCGCACAACTGAAAGACCGGCTTGCTTGTTTTCTTTTGTGTGAGAATCGCCTGCTCGCCTTTTGTCGTTAGTGTGGGCTCTTGTCTGACTGGCACGGCTTATTGGGCTGTAACAAGCGTAACTCTGCCTCTTTTGTCGCGGGACAATTCTCCCACAAATCCCAACAGTGTGCATTCTTCCAACAGGCTATTGGGTGTGCGCGGGGACTGAAAGAATTGCTGAGCCCTGCTACTTCATCTCCTCCCCAATCTCTTTGTAATTTTCCCCCCTTCTTTTCCTCATGCCCCCCCTCCCCAGTCCCCTCCACCTCGATGAAATGAACACTTTACCAGGCCGGAAACATTTAATCGTCTCCTTTTGAAAAAATTAATTGAAACTTCTCCACTAGTTACCTTTTGTGTTAGTACTTAATGCAATTTTTTAAGAAAGAAGGGGATGGGGAAGGGGGAGGGGCTAGCATATTTTATTTTTAAATGCCCCTATTGGCTATAAAGCAAAAGGCATTAGAGGTTTTGTTCATTAAGAACAGGGGATATCTTGTAAAAGATTTACCTACTTGTAAACTTTACGATTTTTGTAGTTATAATGACTATCACAGAGAAAGGTCCAAGTAGCCTTGGGAGTTTTCTTTCTTCTTCTTCTTCTTCTTTTTTTTCTTTTTCTTTTTTTTAATGAGAAAAGAAAACCCATAGCTATGTATTCAACACTCAAACCACCAATATTTCACTACTTGTTTTGAAGTTTAATTGTGACATAAATTATGTTTTATTTTCCCAGCATCTAGTACCGTATGGCTGCCCCATCCCGTCAGCCTCCTCTTGGCCCGGGCTGTGGTCGTGGATGGTTCCTTCCCTGAAAGTTACTAGGAGAGGAGCTGGTGACGCGGCTCGGAGGGAGGGGCGGCGAGCAATGGGAATCATTCTTCATTACTGAAAGCTGTGATTTATTTTAGCCTAATTGTAAAGTTACTGCAAATCGCTGAAAAGCTTTTTAAAGATCCCAGTGATTAGGTTTTTTTTAGGGGGGGCGCACAGGCAAGGAGGGGGCAGGTAAAGGGGAAATAACACCTTTAATCCTGCCTCTGGTAAATAGGCTGCCAGCTTTTAAAATGAGTTTCCTTTCTATTAGTGAGAATATTATGCTAAGCCTTAAGCATTAGTTTTTTATGTTGCCATAGCAGCCTTATTCCTGCAGGGTGGTGACCTGTGATGATTACAGTACAAAGCTTATAGGCCTTGAAACCCCCTTTGAAGATGAAAAGTCTTTGATGGTTTATATTTATGCAAATCTCTTAGATATGATTTACCCAACTGAGACTGAATGGAGAGATGATTAAAATTCCCTTTTCCTTTGATATCCATTAATGGCTGAATATTCCTTAAATTTAAATGGATATATATGTTTTCAACTTTATTTACAAAAATATCTTTATTATACCTGTGTTTCTCTCTCTCTCTCTTTTTTTATCTTCCCACATCTTATTAGATCTAGATAGACATAATAGATTTACAATTTAGATTGTGGGGCTACCCCCCCTTTTTGAATCGGGGGGTGTGGGGGATCTGCGAGGGAGCTTTTGTATGTTTCCAGATGATAGATTTTGGAATTTGGGCTACCCCACTGGCAGCACAGAGCTAGCTGTGAACTGGTCTCATGGAAAAAATTGGCAAGCTTTGGTCTTCAAAGAATTAAACTTCCTTTTTAAGGTCTTCCTAGGTAAGCTTAAAAAAAAAATTATGAAGAAAACCCTCCCGAACAAAGGGTAACGGCACTATAACGAATGATACCGATTTTATGTATGTAGAAGGCAGCTGAACGCCACACAGTGCACGTGTGTCGGAGTTGGGTTCGAAACAAAAACAGAAGGGCAGGTAGCGAGCTGCGCTTTGTTCCCGCGCCTGCCATTTGCATTTAGTGGAGAGGAGAGGGTGAGGGGTCCTGGGTAAATATGTTTTCCAGGGAACCATTTAAACCTGGGAGTCTCTCCTCCCTCCTAACTCCTAGGCCTCAAATTATTTCCTCTGGAGGAAGGCGGATTGTGGTGTTTGAGATTTCACTTTCTGGTTTCCGGGGAACTTTGTTACCTTTAGTTTCTCTGCTTTTGCTCCCCCCCCTCCCCGGTCCTTTGTGTGGATGAAGGAGGCTGGGATATTAGTTCCTCAGGTCAAAGGCTTCAGCCCTGCTCCTGTGTCTGCATTTCAGGGGTTGAACTTCTGTTCTTGTCGCTAATCACCTATGACACTTCTGATTTTAGTTTTCAGACAAATTTTCATTCCACTTAAAAGGCCGAAAACTTGAACAGCCAATGAATTTAATCCCCTTTGTGGAGACTGCCATGGGTTTGCTCAATTTCAAGGTAAGAAAGCCATAATGTGGTGATGTAAGTTAGCATTTTATTTTAATTACCTAAAGGGAACTGTTTTTTTTTTAATTTGAACATCTACTTAAAATTTTTTAAAGAAAGATTTGTAAACAAAGAAAGGTATTTATACCATGTCTTATCCATCCTACTCCAAAAACATTATCTTGGATTGTCACTATCTTGGAAGACAAAGAAATCAGTTTATAAAGAAGGCCTTGTGTGTCTCAAATATCTAAACAAAACATTTATGTGTTCCTGGAGTATATACATATATATAAAATCACAGAATTAACTGTGTTTTCAACTGGTACATGTATAGATTAAATGTACATGGATATTTTATTTTGTCACCTTTATGAATTAAATTTGAATTGTTTTTCCTGAAAATTGTCTTTCCATCCTCAAATGCCCTGGCCTTTCTGTAGTACTATCATCTGTACTCTCTAGCGGATAAGATTATTGTTTAAGTTCACATATATAAATAACTTACAGTGTCATGTTTCAAACATAGTGTCTTCTAGCACACATTTAAAAGGATGAGCTGAGCCAGTTCTCAGCCACCGTGGCTGTGTGGT